CTCTCTCCCCCACCCACTGGCCACTACTGTTTCCCAACCACACCCGGCTGACATGCGCCTCAGCACTCCCGCACATGTAATCTGGGAAGGCTCTCCCCTCAGATCTCTGGGGGGCGCCTTACCACGCCAGCATTAGCTCGAATGTCACCTGTTCACACAGGACCTGCTAGTCACCCTGCCCATGTCACCACTTTGCTCTAGTTAGTTCACAGCATCTTCCAGGAGCTGAGATGTTCTTACTTACTGCCTCCATGGGAGAGTGAGCTGCAGCCACCACCAGCTATACCCAAAACAGCGGCTGATTGATAAAATACTCGCTGTCGAACCGATTAAAAACATTTTTTTTTCTGTTGCTAAATATATGCTTTGGTAATAGCAATACTAAAAGTTGACAGATTAGGAAAACAGTACATGCCTGGTTTCATTAGGAAACAAAAGTCTTCCCATGGGGCAGAAACTCATTTCCATAATAAAGTTATAGTATTACATTTTAAATATGGTCTGTTCGGACAGTGTTTCAGTGTGCTTTAGAGTTTTGACTTCCCACTTACTTTCTACATTCCACAGATATTTATTTAGACTCCCCACTATGTGTCAGGACTGAGACTTGAAGGGTGAGCATGCAAATGCGACCTTACCCTTGGGACCTTGATGAACAGGAGTCAGACGCTGAACAAATGCTCATCCAAGAAGACAGTGGCACCAAGTGCCGGGGGCACCATAGGAAAAACCTCAGGGTCCAGTCAGATACACGAGGGGCATGGGACATCGTTTAGCCTGAGTGGTTAGATAAAGCCTATCTAAGGGGCTGATGTCGAGGTTGAAGAAGAGTTAGCAGGGGTTCACTTGGTACAAGGGTCTCTCCAAGGGTAGCTTATACAAAAACCCCAGGTGAGAGGGGAGAAGGATTAGTCAATCTCTGGGATTTAAAGAAAGCTACAGTTTCTGGATGACAGAGGGAGGTGTGCAGCGAGACGGGACGGGAGAAGGCCCGACTATAGTCTCGACGCCATGCTGGGGACTCCTGCAGCTTATCCTATGAGCAAGGAGAATCGAGGAGGGAATGTAAAAGCAGGGACACCTCTGGGGATGCAGGAACCCACTGTGCTGGGCTGGCTTGTGAGCACGCTACGGAGTAGAGCCCAGAGGAAGGACAGACTCTGGAGGACCCCGTGCTGAATGCAATGCGGACACGAGGGAGGTGTGTCTAAGATCGCACTCAGAGTTTTGGCTTGCCAGCTTGGCTGGGTGAGGTGGTTTCCTAGAGAGTGGGACCAAATTTGGGGGAAATGGTTAAAAATTTTCTTTAAGACATTAATTTTTGTGATGCTAGGAATAAACGAGATTGAGAATGTTCTGAAAAGAGAAGAGAGGTCAGGAAAAAGCCTTGGGCACCTGCGTTATTCAGACATCTGAGGAAGAGCCAAAATACACCGTGAAGTGATGGCAAGAGAAGTAGGAGGGGGAAAGGACAGCATCACAGAATTTAAGAGAAAACAAGTCAGGAGGGGGCCGTGTCACTGAGGAATAAAGTGACGAGGACAGGAGCCGCTAATACTCGTGTGCATACACCTTAAGGCATGGTACTTCGGGTAAGGCAGATACTCAATAATTTATCTGTGGAGTTTATGTGAATGTTTAACAGTTTGTGCCCAAGGCATTTATAGTGTATCAGGGAAAAGAAATACGAGTAATTCTATTTCAAGCCGTTTTATAACTACCAAGAGAGGAGTAAACTATGAGATTATAATCCAGAGGAGGGGATTACTTATAGCCTGGAGTGAGGGCTGACCTAGCTGAGAAGGGTGCATCTGAATTGGATTTTGAAGGTGTTGTAACGTTGAAGAGCAATGAGCTCATTTAGGAGATCTTGTAAAGACATTTCAGTGTTAACATTAGACTATTATCATGTCAAAAGAGCCATCAGTGATCAATAGCTCATCTCACCCTGCTTCTATTTCTGATAGCATTCTCAAGTGCTTTTTGCCAAAGACAGTAATGCTTTTATTTAAAAACAAAACAAAACAAACAAACAAACAAACAAAAAACCCAGTTAATCCAAAGATCAATAACAACTCAAATATCTGGGCTGAAATCTGTCTGTACCTTTACAGGAACAGTTGATAAGCACGGTGGTGATACTGAGCCCACTTAGAACAACTGAATTAAACATACAGTATGACTCGTAGGCATAATGTTGCACTGTACTTAAAATCATTTAGATTGGGATGGTAGATACATAAATATAACACACGTATATGAGTGTGTGTGTGTGTGTATATATACTTTTAACAATTTTTTCTATATGGTGTGTGCACTCGTCAGACAGAGAGTGAGTGAGAAAGTGAGAAATTGTCCCCCAGAGAGGATGGCCACATTGTGATCCCTTCTCCATTCTCCTCCTCAGATTTTGGGCACACACACACACACATGCCCAGTATGATTTTCAAGCAGCTGGGTCCGATATGCAAACTATAGTCAACCATGTGGGAGTCCAGTCTCTTAATCACTATGCCACCTGCTGACCCCAATATATTTAAATATTTTTTAAAATTATTTAAAATATTCTATATCTAGAGGAGGTATTAGCATTCCCATGTTCACTGTAGCATGGCTCACAATAGCTAAGATGTGAAAATAACATATTATAAATGCCCACTGATGAATGAATAATGAAAATGTGGCACATACACAAAATGGAATATTATTCAGACTTTAAAAAAAAAAGGTCTTGGGGCCAACCAGGGTGGTATGTGCTGTTAAGATGCTACCGGCCCACAGGCTAAGGCCACAGGTTCAATCCTAAATCTGACCTAAAAGCCTGTAATCCTAGCTACTGGAGGCTGACAGGACAGCAAGCTCATGGCTGGCCTGGGCAACAGTGAGATCTTATCTAAAAGAACCAGGTGTTGTGGCATGTGCCTGTGGTCTCAGCTACTGGGGATGCTGAGGCAAGAAGATCACAACACAGCAAGATCCATCTGAAGAAGAAGAGGAAGAGGAAGAAGAAGAGGAAAAGAAATTCCTGCAAGATGTGACAACAGGAATAAACCTTGAGGACATTTTGCTAAGTGAAATAAGCCAGTCACAGAAGGGCAAATGCTATACAATTGCACTCACGTGAAGTATCCGAAATAGTCAAACTCAGAGAAGCATAAAGTACAGTGGTGGTTGCCAAGAGCAGAGGGCAGGGGAAATGGGAGTTGGTAATCAGCTAATACAGTTCCAGTTATGCAACGTGAGTAAACACTACAGATCTGCCATGCAACACTGTCCTATAGCTGATGACATGCTACTGTTACACCTGAAATTACAGTAAGAAGTGGGGGGCCAGAAAGGCACTGGACTAGCACAAGGCTGACTGCAGTTTGAGTCCCAGACCTGGTGGACTGAAAATTACACCGGGTGCATTCCCCAAATCCTGAGAATGGAGGAGAAGGGACTGCATTGTGGTCATCCCCCGGAGGATGACTTCTCACTTTTCCTCTCACTGTCTCTCTCTACCTCTCTCCAGCGAGCGCATGCACCCTATGGCAAAAATCTTAAAAAGGAAGGTAGATCTCATGTTAGGTGTTAGCACATTAAAATTGTAAAATTTTAAATTCTAAAGCAAACATTTGACAAACTTTAGATCACCTCTAAGTGACAGAGGAAGATTTTACTGTTCATTGAGTGACAATAATATGGGAAGGTAACCTGTGCTTTTCTTCTTATTATTTAGTTTTACCTAAAGTTGGCTACAGGCTACTGATTTTATTTAGGAGGATCTTCTTAGTGGATAATCCGAAAGATTCTTTGCTGCCAAATATCAATGTTCCAAAGTTCACTCCCATTATACTGACAAGTGAGTAGATATTATTTTCAAGCAGACATTTATTTCTAATTGCTTTTGGTTTTAAGAGTTTGGTCTTAATAAACAACCACTTTTCTCTGGAACCACCCGACGTTACTACTGAAACAACCCTTGTTTTGCTCTTCCATTTCCATCCCACCCTTGAATGTAGGCCACGGAATGTAAAAACAAAGCCCTGAGATCACAGCTGGAAAACTGAGCTCATGCTGACTTGCAAACTTGGGACGATGGAGACTCTACTAGGAAGCAATAGGAGAGCTAAATTCAGCGGCACTTTTTATGTATTCTAGGCGTTGTGCTAAATATAAATACCTGTTTTCAATTCTACTCCACAGACACAGTTTTAATTCTTATAGGTGAGGCATCTAAGACACCTAAGGAGAGAAAGAAACTTACTAAGGATTATGCTGCTACTAAGCAGCAGAGACAGTCTAGAACTCAGGAAGATTTTTGAAACTACAACTATAAAAGTTTCAGTGAAAGTATGAGATCACAAATTAGCATTATAGCAAAACAGTTTGAATAACGACCCTTGGGACCAGTAGGTGGCATGGTGGTTAAGGTGCTGGATTCCCACATGGCTGACAGCGGTTCAAGTTCTAGACCTATGGCTTGAAAGTTATGCTGGACAAGTATGTGTGTGTGCCCACAATCCTGAGAGGAAAACAGAGGAGAAGGGACTGCAGCACAGCCATTTTCTCTGGGGGATGATTTCTCACTTTCCCTCTCTCTATCTTCTCTTTCTGTCTCTGCCTCT